AAACTGGAGCGTCAGTCTTGCATGGGAAAGAATCCTCTTTGTGCTCTGTCTGTGCCTTAGAAAATGTGCAAGTAGTTTATAGAGTTTTATGCATTAGACTGAGGAGCAAGCAGGTTCATCTCTAGCATTGATGGTGAGAAATCACCTTCTCTGTATTGCATGGGAGAGGCTTTCCTGCAAGCTAATTCAGGAAGATGATTTTGTATTCAATTTTGACTATTTTTCTTCTTTTCTGAAAAAGTCAAATAGTGAATTTCAACTGGAATGACCTGGTCAAAATTAAGACCAAAACCAAACCAGGTTTTGGTATGGTATTGGAGTGAACCTTCAGCAATGAAGCTCATTTTTTGCTGAAATTTTATTTTAGTAGCATTGCTTTGACCAGTCTCGCCACAGATTTTTACAATCTGATCTCTTAACAGAGCCAAAAGGTGAAATGAGTTGAACTGATGTATGGAGGTGCTAATATGGCTATAAAGGTGTCTGAGTTGAGGCAAGAGGAAACCATCTGCTTGGAAGAACTGTTCATATGATGTTTAGCACTTAGGTGAAAATGGAGCCAATGCACGACTGTAGAAAGATATATCTGCTTTGCACCTTGTCCTGAAGACCCTGAAAGAGCTGGTGCTTAACTTGCATGTTATTTCATGGAAGCAAAGAGAAAGGAAGAATAAAAGCAAGTTATCTTGCTGTTCCTAGCTAGACTGCTATGATTATTTTTTTCTGAAAGGACAGTATTGCAGCATCACACTGTGTGGGCTTTATTTTCTATAGGAAGGAAGGTATCATCCAACAAAAGACTGTAGACATAGAGTTCTGCCTTCTGCAATTGAGGTATTAAACAAGGTGTGAATTGAGGTATTTTTGCTATAAAGTTTTAAAATTGAACCAAGATTAACCAAAGTTAAACAAAAAGGAAGCTATACGTTTCCATTTTCACTTACCAGTTTGGGGAAGAATTGGGTCCTCCTAACCCCCCAGGAAGTGGGTAAATAAGGACTAATGGTTCCCAACCATACACAAAAGGAACTCCTACCCTTGATTTGAGCATGGAGGCCTGCTTTGTGAAACGGACTAACAAATAAAGCTGTTTCCAATAAAAATTTCCTGTTTCCTCTTTAACACATTTGCCTGCTGTTTGCTTACACGACACCAAGAATAAAGACTTCATTGTACTCCTTTTTGGTGGGTTGGGTTTTTTTGAAGGGGGGGGAGGTGGATTTTTTTTGTTTTGGTTTACTTTCTAAGAGATTTTCTTGTGTATCAGGACATTTAGAAATAATAGCGCGATTTCTTTCTTGCCAGCAGTTCTTTCCTACAAGAACCTCCCACTGCTGGGCTAGGGCACAGGACGCACGTCTGAAAAGCTGCACATACATTTCTTGCCCGGAATGTATACTGAATTGTAGTTTATTGTAAAGGTTTTAACTGGCAAGGATGTTTGATTCAGAAAGGAAATGGCACCGCAGGGATGGAGCCCGGGGGAGGAGGGAGTGAGACCAGCCTCTTGCCCACAGCAACTTGTACCAGCTCAGCTGCCAGGTCTTCATCAGAAGGATGCTCACAGTGGGAAATTGCTTTGCATATCGTGGCAGATTAATTGGGGCTGAAGTGGGGCTTCCCTAAAATGGGTTGGAAAGCAGCATAGAGTTCCTTGGCGAGCTCCCCCTCCTTCCTCCCTGTGGCTCTCAGCTGGCCCCAACCAAGTGGGTGCTGTGCTTGGCAGTGAGTTCGTAGCTCAGGTGATGATCTGTACCCTGGGTCCCCTGGGAGACTGCACGAAGGCTTCTTGGTGCACTGTCCCGTCTAAAACTTTTTAGAAGTAGTGGAAAAATCTGATTTTGGAAGCTGTGGTGTTCTCTCTTTATCCCTCATTATCCTGGTTGCCATTGATCCAGATGACAAGGACTTGCACATATTCCAGTGTCCACCTGGGTATGAAACTGTGGCAGCTGGCAAACCAACAGTCCCAGAGCTGATGCTGCTGAGCTGGATGAAAAGCTGGTATTTGGAAAGTGTGGGAATGAGCTTTCTCCTCTAGCATAGTTTAAATGATTTGGCCAGAACCTCAGGTTTAACTAATGTATTTTATTCTCAAAGGCAGATTCCAGTTAAGTTGTGGTAATGAACTTTTTACCTATACAAGCTTTCAGCTGTTTAAGTTTGTATCTCTTATGTGAGGAAGCTTGTTCTGTGTACTCAGCTTTCTGTGAAGCCTATTCAGCACACCCTGGGCTGGATTCTCCCTCCAGCTATATTTTGATCTGCCTGAATTTCACATACATACACAGTTTTGTTCATACTCTGGCTCCTCAGTAACCAGCAGGGTTGAGATGGGGGAAGCTGGGTTGGAAAGGACCTTTCCATTCATCTGGTCACAGCGCATCGGTACAGCCTAGGAGCAATCCTGGGTTTGGCCAACTGGACTTGAACAAAAGGAGCTGCTTTTTTAGGTCCTGCCTCCGCTTTGTCGCCCATACCCCTGCCACGTCCCTCTCTGACACACACTTTGAGTGGATGGAGGTGACACGGAGAGAGCCCTGGCCACCGGGGACTCCCTGGCCCCTTCTTCAAGACAGCTCTGCAAGCCCCTCGCCCTTCCAAGGACTTGTAACAGGAGCCAGAGACTAGAGCCCTGGCTTTCCCAAAATGTTTGAGATGGAAATGGGGCAAATATTGCTTTTAAACCCTTGGTGCTGTTCCTGTACCCAGCCCTAGGCATTTGCCTAGCCTGATTGATGAACAGGTGCACTGGTGTTCTATTATTCTCTGCAATTCTTGTGGCCAACCAGGAATAACTCAGGTGTTTCATTGACTGGGTAGACTTCTTGGGGGATTCTCAAAGGTATTATTTTGAAAGCAAATATGCTCTGAAAATCCCAAAGGCACCTGACACCTGGGTGCCCATAAAATATGACTTCCACATAACTTGCATATATATTTGCAGAAAAGATACACAAAGCTTCTATAGAGAACCTTTTCAAAAGTCTGATAAATGCATATTCATAATTTTCTAGCTCTAGAAATATTTTACAGGTCATACACCTGAGGTGCTCAGTAAAGGACCTGTGAACAAATATTTAAACACATTTAAGAGCCACTGTAGTAGTAAGGAATCTGACACTTTTTTCAATTGCACTACAAGCATCTACCTGCATTTTTAGGTAAATACTGGTTATCAGGGAATCTTTTTTTTTCAGTTTTAAATCAAGTAAAATTCTCATTCAATCCAGACACTTCTGCAGGATGTGACCTATAAGATAGTGCATTTTATTTTAAGTACACTTAAAAATTAATTGCAGGGTTTTTTACTTTAATTTAATTTTCATTGCTTCTGAGATAGTAATATCCTGTTGTTTGTTCTTACTTTAGCAGTACAAGTTTTAAATATATTTTAGATTCTTTGTTTTCCTTCTTTATTAACTTTCCCATGTATTTCCTTAGGATACTGAAATTAAAATACTACTTTAAGCAAAATTTTACAATCGCTTACGATTGGAATTGAAGAATGCTTTTTCTTAATGAGTAGCTAAGTGAATATGTCTGTACGTGCTTGTTCTCATGTGGTCCCATAACCCAAAGGTGAAGCAAACACAAGTTACACAAATGCCTGCTTGTCCTGACTTCAGCGAGAGTGGATTTTTAGCTGTTTATTTATCTGGAATGTTGTGCTTTGGCTCACCTTAACCCTTTGGTTTGGGTATGTATTTTAGCAAAGTAGTCTGGCAAAGTACAAATATTTTAACCCTGTTGGAGCAATTTGGAAAATTAGAGGGGGATTGCTGTCATTTTGGAGATGCTAAAAGGTGCTTGCCGTTTCATCCGATTTTAATTGTGTACCTATATTGCACTGGGAATATTTCATAACTTGCCAAAATCTTGAGATTTTTTTCTTATGTTATGCTTGGCTCTTCACTGCCCTATATGCAGTAACTTGTATTCTGAGCAATTCTGAGCAAAACCCTTTGTGCAGCGTTACTGCAGCAGGTAGCTATAGTATCCTCTCCAAGTAGGTGGCAAGATTGTTTACTGAGTTGTACATAATGAAGCTTTTCTTTTCTGGTCCATCAAGAACACTGAATATAATCAAAGCCAGATGAACTTTAAGAGTTTCTGATTGCTCACTGTCTGTTTGAGCAGTTCTAAGCAGGGAGCTAAATTCCCAGTAGCACTTTCTTGAATTTTTAGAACAGAATTAACACAATCTGTTTCCTGAACACTTGGAGAATACCCTAAATACCTTTTTTAATATTTTCCTAGTTTGAGCTAAGATAACATATTCTTTATTTCTGCTTGTATTAGGTAACAAATGAATTTATGTATAATTTATTCATAGACTAATATAACCCATGTTCAGAGTGTTTCTTTTGGTGTCATGTATATGTATGTGAATAATTTCATTTTGCGGCGTGCTGGTTTGGGCAGTGTGAGGGGAAGTTAGCTGAATTTCCTGTAATATACCAAGTAACTCATAAATGCCTTGAAGACCTCCAGTGAAACTAGCTTCTTGTTGGGTAGTAAATAACGCACTTGAGTGAGCTGCAATACAGTGTGTTGGTTGTTCTTGGGCTTGGGTCTGTCAGTGCTATCTACAAGATGTTGAAGTGCACAGTATCACGAGCTCCTTTGTGCCAAGAGTATCATAAGGTTGTTGAACAAATGCTGCTTATGTTGATTGTGGTGCTGGTTTCTATAGTGTTAACAAAACCTGTATGGAATAATCCATAACACCTGCGGTTTTCATCTGTGCCTGTTTCTCTAACTATTAAAATGATGAGCTGTTGATAAATCATGGGCGAACGCTAGTGACTTTCCAGCATCTAAGATATGTTGGATCATGAGAAGAAAAGCAAACTGGGAGAAGCAAACCTGTGTCTCAGTTCAAAGTTGCTGAATACCTTCATGCTTATTTTGTAACGGGAATAGTAGAAGTGGTGGAGAGGAACTTTTTGCTTTGCAGATCACTAATCGGAGGGTGTCTTGTTTCTGTCCTCTTCCAGAAATCGAGGCTAAGGAAGCTTGTGACTGGCTGCGGGCTGCCGGGTTCCCGCAGTACGCGCAGCTTTATGAAGGTAGGCACCTGAGCTTGCAAGTCGATCATCCCCTGCCGATTTTTGGACAGTAAGGTGTAATATTCACCAATAAATGAGGTTCAGGGGCACAACTGAAGTGCCAGTACATAAAATGACTTTCAGGTACTGGGCTGCTCTCTGCTACCCACCGCACACATAGATATACCCAACCCAATGAGACTCTGAAGCACTCATGGAGTTTTAAATTTGTTCCAGGTTTCTGTTTTAGTCTGAATCTTCCAAATGTCCTCACAGCACAAATGTTATGTTAGCACCATCATACATTCCCTGTAGTTAAAACACAAATGAACTATATTTTCATGACTGTAGTCATCCACTGCTACAAGCCCAGCCTTAGAGAAACACAGAAGCTGTGTCCAGCTCCACCAGCCAGCTCTCCTAATGGAGCAGAGGTAGGAAATTCTGGTGTGCATGGATATTATCTCTACACCTCATGATTCCCAAATCCTGTCAGAACAGTCTGGGTTGGTGTTAGACGCAGGCTTGCTATGAAGGGAAAAAAGAACATACAAGCCATTGTTGCGCAGGTGTGCGAGGTGTTCCTCGAAGAGACTGCTGCCTCCTGCGCTCGCTCGTCCTTCTGTGGGATGGATTCACTTTGCCAGTCTGCTTTTACAAAGGTTTTCTTCAGTTAAAACTGTTGTCTTCATTGCCTCTCTGACCTACTAGGAACTTCCAGTTTTGGCATATAGTTCTTACACTCTGATGCACAGTAACCTACAGAAGTTTGTTTTAAAGTGTGACATCCTTTTTATATATGTATATTATTCAGAATTTCACCACCACCACCACTTAAAATTACTTGCATTGTAGTGAAATTATTATGCACTCTTATCTGCCTCTTCTTTTTTATAAAACAAACTCCAGCTGCTGCTTGTAAGAATGAGCATAGAAAGTCCATTATTTACAGTGAATAACTATTGGAAATTACAGCAAATGCTGAGCTGACCTTCTTGAAAAACGATCTCGTTGAGCTTTGATTTGCAGCTGCATTGGCAATATGAGATGATAATAGCACTTTCAAAAGCAGCACTTGGCAAAACTTTTCTTTGCCTGTTCAGAAATTAAATTTCCTTTTATTATTTCTCTTCCTTTTTTTTTTTTTTTTGTGCTAATGGAGGTGCCAGGATTTTCTTGGGATGCAGAGCTGGGACTGTACTTCCAGTCTTTGTTAAAACTGGGGATGAGTCTCTCGACTGAATTTGTGGGCTTTTGGCTTTCATGTTATGCTGATCTGTAAATCCCCTCATAAATTACTTGCATTCAGAAAACATGTCCCACCTGTAGTTATCATTGCCCTACCTAGAGACTCTAAATTTATATAAAGTTTCTAACATAAGACCATGTCCTGCCTAACATCAAAAGGACCGCAGAGGTGACAGCAAGAGGTGAGAACAAGGGCAGCCATACCTATTGAAAAGACAGGTGTCCTTATATGAAAACAGTATACCATTGTCCTTTGCAAGTCCCCCTGGCAGCAGCAACAACAACAAAAACAGCAGCAGCGCAAATTAAGCATAAAAAAAAAATTGGACTCGTGCAGTCTGTCAACTTCTTCCAAGTCACCTCTCTCACTTAAGTTCTCCCATATGTTTTCTTGTGGGCATTCTAAGGTACTAACTTTCTCAGTGGAAAAACTTAGATCAGCACTGGTGAAAATACCGGTTGAATGCACTCACCCTCTTTACTTGCACCTTGGATTTAAAATACTGAAGGGGAGACCCATGAATCAATTGGGTATATTACAAGAGTTCTGAGAAGTCACCTATATGGCCCCACGCAGTACACATTTAAAACGGAGATTAATCAGTGAGCCTTTGTCAGTTTCTTTGCTAAAACTGCAGTTTTCTGTAGAAAAGACAGAATTTCTTGTGTTTTGCAGAATACATAATAATTACTTTATTCCTGAGGCAAAATCAAGACAAATGGTTTATTTGAGAGATTAACTCTTGGTATAGAAAACCCAGAATATTAACTACCTTTCCACAAATTAACACCAGTCCTACTCTTTTCATCATTTCAGATCATTCTTTCCTAGTCTTTGGAAATTAAAATACTTTATAGACAATCACTTGAACCAGGGAATGTATGCAACTGCAGCAGTATATTTGTAGTTTGCCCCTGTATTGCTGTGTGCCCTGAACACCCAGTGGCTTTGGTGGGAGTTTTGGCTGTGCAAGGAATGCCGGATCAGGACCTGTATGACAGTCAGGAATCTGTGGAGGACAGTAAATAATATATGTATGGTTGCTGCTTCAGAGCTGTAGTAAATTTTCAGCTCTTTGCCAACATTGTTTCCTCCCCCTCGCTCTCCCAGTTGTTTACCTAAATAACGTCCTAAGGAAAGGAGGCAGTATGGGCTGTGCGCAGCTTGGCTTGCTTTCATTTCAGTCCATATCTCATTAATGTTGTAACAGTGTCAAACTTTTAAGCAGCTTGATTAACAGCCAAGGAGATTTGGGGTTTCATTCTTTTCCAGAGATTTGGGGTTTACTGACCTTTTTTCTTTAAGGTGAGATATTAGTACTTCAATGGAAATTGTATATTTATTTTAAACAAAGCTAGCCTGAGTCAGTTTATGCTTCTGATGTTGGGTAGGGAGCTCGCATTTGCCTCTCTCCGTCTCCTGTTGTTTCATCTCTGCTTTGCTCATTTTTCCTCCATTTTGCATATGAACTTTCAGTTATCGAAGCTGCACGTCAAAAACTTGGACATGAAAAGGAAGCATCTCTGGCATTTGAGGTGATAGCGTGTGTTTACCTGAGACATGCCAATCACTGGCATCTTGGAGAGCTCAGCTGGAGGCAGCTGGTTGTTCTGAAGTAACTCACCACTGGGAATAAGAGTTATTTTGATTCCATCTGTCTCTGTTCCTGCAGATCTCCTTTTTCCAATTGACATCGCTCTAGTCAAGCGAGAGCATGACTTTCTGGACAGAGACGCTATTGAGGCCTTATGCAGGTAGGTCAAAAAAAATCACACTGCATTTTGAAACAAAACCCTTCCTGTGTAATAGAAAGTGTAACCTGGGAAAAGCATAACCTCAACTGAATTATGTACCATTAAATAACCATTTGCTTGAGATCTTTTTATTGTCCACTATCAGTATGCAGTTTTCCTTAGCATGATATATTGGTCTGAGTAATGGTTGGGGATCTTATTTAAAACAAAGTTGGGAGGAAAGTGGCCTGAGTCTTTGTGACAGGTATTTCATAGGCATATTTTTTATTATTCTTAATTTGCTTTCATTACTAATTCCCAAATTAGTTACGCATGTGAAAGCAGAACTCTGCTGGCTAAAGCCATCTGCATGTACAACTGTAGCATCAGTTCCCACACAGGAATTGTTTTTTGGGAGCAGTATTAGCAAAGCGATGCTGCTGCACTCCGTTACTCTCCTTTCTTATGTTGGTTAGCAGCTATGTATACAAACAAAACAAAAAGCTATGTATACAGACTCTCATGCTGACCTCAGTGCATCACCCTGTGTGCACCATGATCACCAAAGTGAATGCAGGTACGGCTGAAATGGATAATGTGAGTGAATCTAAGAGTTTATCAGTCACCACTGCAAAGATTGGCCTGCCCTCAGCCACGTGCTCCCATTACTTGTCTTTGTTGTTTATGGGCTCCTTCCGCAAACCAGTTCAACTCACCCTGCAAAAAGAGTCTGGATAGTCCTTTTGCTGGGTTAGTAAATTAAATCAGCCTGTGGAAAGGCATAATGAAGTTCAGAGTAGGTGCAAAGGATGGGGCAGGACCCCACAGCCAGCTGCAGGGGCAGGAGAAGGGATGGGTAGAGTAAAAGAGAGAGCAAGACTTGCCGGTGTGTGGCAGCATGTTTTCACAGAACTACAGCCTCAGCATTACCGATTTTATCATAAAAGCAATTGCAGTGGCCCCATCTGACACTTACCCATCCACCAGTTACCTCCTCTAGTGTGAGTCCACAATCTTAAATGGCAAAAAAATAAGTGCAGTTTTCTGCCGCTGTCCTTCAATATGGCAGCTTTCCAAATTGTCTGCAAAATGAATGCTTTTGGATACCGCATGCATGGTCTGCAACTCTAAATGTCAGTAATTCTAATGAATTACAAAACCCTTTTAAGAAAGGCTTTGAGTTTATAGTCTTCTCATGCCATCACTGCCGTACTTGGAAGGGAAAGAGCGGGACGGGAATTTAAAGTTCTTCAGAAATATTTACAAGATTTTCAAACTAAGAAAACAGATTTGTTATCCAGTTATTAGGAGGGGAAAATCTCATTAATGTTATATTCACACTCAAGATGTGCCCTACACAAGTGTAGAGCACCTATTCCATTGATATTAAAATGTAATACATTGGTCTGCTTATTTGTGTGCTCTGGAACTTGTGAAGTCATTGAACAGAAAGTACAGCAATGTGAATAAATGCTGGTTCCCAGAAGCGTGGTCTTCCCTTGCCAGGAAAACAAAATACAGTCAAGCCAGCATATTTTGGACCTAGGGCTTGCCTGCAAGAATACTTTTAAACTTGGGATTATTTATTTATATGGGGAAAAAAAGGTAGCAGATTGTTTCTGACTGGTGCTAGTGTGATCGATAAAAACAGTTAGCACTTTCTGAACATAGAGGACAGTAAAAAGATCTGTGTCCTAAGAATGGAGGCCTATATTGTAAGCCTTCTAATAAAGGTGAGCAAACCAAAATGGTATGGGTATATAGATATTTTGTGAAACTAGGAAGTCTTTAATAAGTCTGCTGATTGTAAAATAACCTCTTCACTTGCATCTTCAAATTGTTTGCTGTGTAATATGCATAAGAATCTACCAGTCTTATTGTAGCTTGAGACAAGATTTTAAAGGCTGAACTATATCATTCTGAAGCCTGTGGCTTAGATGTCCAAGTTATCTTTTATGAAGATAACTTTAAAACTGAAGCTAAAGTTCCTCTAGAAGTGTTCAGATCCCACCTCAAAATAAAACTGAAGGAAATCAGTTAATCATCTCAGATGCCTGAGTTTGTCCCTTTACCATTTGTGTTAGACAAAAGCAGTACATTGTCACAACATTTCCACCTTTAGAATTTTTTTTCACATCTCCTTGTTTAATTTTGTAAACCTCATTAAAAAACATGGAGAAGGCCCATCATTTGGAATGCTGCATTTCTGCCTGAAGCCTGGGTTTATTTTGACTCATGCCATGGTCAGTGTGTAAACAGTAAAGGGGTTTACTCAGTAAAAGACTTAGAGCTGTTTCACAGCCATAAGTCTATCACTATTTCTTGACTGAAAATCAGAATAGTTTTGGAGTTATTTGCATTTTCAGCACAGAGCTAAATGAACACTGTATGCAGTGGATGGTAACAAAATAGTAAGTCATCTGTGCTGAGAATCTGCTTTTCTGTATTAACAACCACTGTTCTGCCAGCAGTTCTAACTTGTTCTAATTACTGCATATGAAGAAATTGTATTAAAAAAGACTGTCAAAATCACAGTGACAGGGAGGTTTTTTTTAAGTTTGAAGCACTTTAAATGATAGTCGACATCTGAACAGTTTTGTAAATTATTGTTTAATAATCTTATTAATGTAAGCAGGAAAACTAATGTAACTTTAAAAACAGCTTATTAGTAAATGTTTTGCCAAATTCCTTTCTAAATGGAAAAGGTATCAATAGCCACCCCATTAAGGTTTTTCTGGAAAAATTTTAAGTGCAAAGTGGGTTGAGACTTGAATTACAGAGATAGCATATGGCACTTGGTAACAGTAGAAGATAGGTGGTTAAGAAATGTCATTTAGTGATGTTATCGTGAAATGTAGGGTTAAAAATCTAAAAACAATGACTCTAATTTGCTGGGATGTAGTGACTGTCCAAAGCGCTGCTGGCCTTGGTTTCATAAGACTTTATGTAGATTAATGACTGGGAATTTATCTCCAGAGGATAACTGGCTGCACTATGCGCTGATGAAACTAAGTACTGAAACATGCTTATCCTAAAGGTTGTTGCTAAGTACAAAATACATAGCAAGTCATGATGGAAATCCTATTTAATCTCCTTATGCATACCTAGAAAACTGCCACACTATATACACAAGAGATTTCTTAAATCTTTTGCCGTCAGGACTTCTTATCCAAGAAATTGATTGTAATGGATTCGCATGAGCAGCATTCACTGCTCATGTCATTTGGTTTGTAGAGAGCTGGCCTCCTTTGCAGGTTAGAATGTGCAGATGAACCCCGGGAGCCAGCGTAGAGGCTGTCCACTGCAGTGAGACAAGAAAGCCCTTGTATCATCAATTAGTAACAGGTATAATGGGGTTGAAATTTGCCCTATAAGAAGGAATTAAGAATTTAAATCCATCAAGAAAATATTTTGAACTTTAAAGCTAGATCATACAGTTACATCAGATTGAAAATTGTCATTTAAAATGCATAAATCTAATATTCTGCATTGCTACCACTTTTCTTGGGTGCATGGGGTGAGAATTTCTCCTGTTGAAAGATTTCTCCTGATGAGAGCAGAATGAATTACCCGGGGTTATAGCCAAAGTAGAACTGACTGGTATCTATAACAAAGACTTCACATTATAAGCCCATATTTTAATTTATAAATTAGCTGAAGTTAGCTGTTCACACTGCAATTTTTGATAGTGAATGTCTTGTTCAGGCTGGCTGTCTTTTAAGAAGTTCAGGCTAAACTAGTTTGGCCATTTCTGAGGAGAGGACTAGGAAAAACGCATCGTTTGCTCATTTCTGAGCGAAGCTCCAGTGCCTCATGTTTTGGGTGCCGCAGGTCCAGGCTTCCAGGACTGAGAGACAGGTTCTGTTGCATTGGTCACCCTCGGGAAGAAGGGTTTTGCAGAGCCAGGGTGAAGGAGGGTGAGAACCTGGGTAGGAGTACATGGCGGGTGAGGAAAAGTGACGTCTTGGAGTTAGAACGCTCCACAGGAGTAAGATACCATCTGGATGTGAAGACGTATAGAGAGAGGGCTGACTCAAAGGCATTTATCTAAATGATGGGAAAGAGTATTATCTTGTCATCCAGACAGTCATCCAGAAAGCAGCTGGGGTAAGAGGCATTGTAGAAATTGCAACTGACATAGCCAGACAGTGAAAGCGGCTGTAACTGCTGTCGGCAGCAGTCCTGCCCCGTCCCTCCATCTCCCATCTTGTCCTCGCGAAGGTGTCGCCAAGACAGGTTTGGGCAGAATAAGACGGAGCTAAAGAATGAGGGAGACCTGCTGACTGTCAGTAGGGAAACGATAAGTTGAATTTATACCTGGGAATGGAATTACCAAAGGAGAAGGTCCAGAGCCAGAAGAGAAAATTGCGTTTCATTAACAAGCATCGATTTGATGAGAAGATCTGTAGAAAATGAATGTGTGCTTATATGCTTAAAAAGTGTTGCAAAATGTACGTAAAGGTTAATGACAGTTGTATAGGTAACTCTCGTCCTGGCAAAGCCTAAACTTTGTAAGCTTAGTTTTGCAGACTCAATAATGTGTTTGGAAGGCAGTTGTGCATATTGTACTGTTTTCAGTGTCCTATAGCTCAAGGAACTGGGCACTGCTGAACTTCAGCAGAAGTTAAAGCAAGATGTGTGATATATATATAATGAAAGTTGCAGACCTGAGGCAATTGCTGCAGAGCATTTAGGTTTTAAAAGGGAAACTGGTTTTGTGATGAAATCATGTCAAATGTGTAACAGAGCCTTTACTTGCCTCGCTGCTATTGTATTTAACCTCGCTCATTGGGGGTTACCTTATCTTGCCTTCATACTCATTTTTGTGAGGTGTGCGCCGGGAGATCTTTTTTTCTTAAACACCCTCTGTGGAAACAGAGGTCTTTGCTCTACCCTTTTCCACCTATTTCAGGGTTTTAATTTGAGTAGGAGAAAAGTCTGGGGATGTAATCTTTGTGAAATCAGAGATCGTCTTTATTAGCGGTCAGACAGGCTGGAGCTAGATAAAGCCTGATACAGGGATTTGGTGATAACTTCTCTCTGCTTAAGTCAAAGGTTGCAACACTGTGAAATTTGTAAATTATTACACAATATAGAACTGAAGACAGCTTAATATTCCCTGATCTTGAGGTCCAGGAGTTTGAGAGGAGAATGTTCTTTATAACAGAGAGAGGGAGGCGGCTTTCTGCTGCTGTGTGGCCTCTCAAAAACCAAAATACCAGTTTTGTTGTGTAGCACATAGATGGGACGTTCACCCTTCGCCCACACCATAAATACAATCCCTCTGAAATTCACTGGACTTGTGCATGTACCCACCAGCTGCAGCTGACAGGACCGAACCTTCTGCCTTTTAAAGTCAGAGCAAAGATGAAAATAGAGAGATCTGGATAACTTTCCTAACCTGCCACTGCCCTACTATTTGACCCATGGCAATTCTTCCTGTTTCTCTTCTTTTCTGCTGTGTTGTGGCTGGGTCTAATTATAGATCAAACTGCCTTTTTTTTACTTCACGACTGCAGCAAAAGCACCAGTAGGAGCTTTTCCATTTTCTTTGATGGCCTCAGGATCAAGCCCTGTGTAAATACCATCTGCAACCAATCCTGTGCATAAAAGGCGAGGGGAAAGAGAGGAAACTAGTAATTCTTCCTGTGCACACATTTTCTAGATTCAAGTTACAAGTTTCATGAATCTGAAAAGACTCATCTGAAGCAACAGGACAAGGCAGCATTTCTTTTTTTTTTTTTTTTTTTTTCAGTTTTTCAAAGCTGCTGATACAGGCTGTTCTTTACACTTTGCTCAAACGAATTATGTGAAAATTATACAACTTCCTTCAGAATGAATTAGGCTTTTTAAAGCTCAGTTTTGCTTCTGTTGAATTTGGGCTGTGGTCCGGCTGAAGGAAGGGGGCGGCTCTGCTCCTCTGCCTCCCCCTGCGCACACTGCCCTTCACACAGCTCGGGGAACTGACTTGGGAGAAATTCAACCCAACAAAGTATTGAAAGATTAATTTTCAGCTCGTTTAGTTTCCTCATCCAACCCACAATACAGCCTCATGCGTGCAAGTATTAACACAAGGGACCAAACCATTGCTTCCATGAAGCTGCTGCTTCAGCTTTTCTGCCTTCTGCATCACACCCAGCCTGTTCCTGCCCTTTGCCTTGCCATAGCACCAGCATTTCTTTAACCACGCTTTACCAGTGTAGATTTTAGCTGAGCCAGGTCCCTGGAGCAGTTTCTGGGGAGGCAAGGGCTGGGAGAAGGGCAGGAGACCACAGCAGCCTGCACTTAGCCATACCTAAACTGCCATGGAGCTGTGTGTTTAACAGTGCCAAATTTTGCTCTAGTTTAAGCTGTTTGTGCTCAGCCCTGCACACTGAGCTTTTGGGGAAGACAAGGGAAGACAGGTAATTTTTTTTTTGGTTTAGGGATACCTACCAGATCATTAGCTCCCCAGGGAATAGAGGGATGCTTATATACATTCATACAGTACTTCAAGATATGCATCCAGCCTGCTATCACATTTCACAGGGAGGTTGGTTAACTGCTGGTGCTGCAGCATTTTATTTTTGTTTAAATTTTAGTCCTTCAGGACAACATTTTTATGTATAAAAGAAACTTTCAGTTTAGGAAGGAAAAATTAGGTCTGTATTTTTTTTGGTTTTTTTTTAACTGGTGAGTTGTCTTGTCCCAGGACTGTATTGAAAATAATCATTGTTCACAAACAAAACAGACACCTAATAAGTGGAAAATAAGTTTTCCTCTGGGAGGTTTTAGCTTATAAAGTACAATTTTAAAGCAGCATGCTTTTTTCACACAGGCATATGTACACAGTGTCAAATCAGAAGCCTTTTCCAGTATTTTCTCCTGTTATTTTCTCTCTGTTGAGATTGATTGTTTCAGGTTTGCTATTTAAACAAATGTAATTATTACAATTCATTGGATATAATGCACTCCTCAACTTAGTCTAGGTTTCCCTTCATTTCTTTTTACTTTGATTCAGGTAATTGTGACAAATAGTCATCCATCCTCCATCCCTCCCTCTGAAGTTAGAATACAGCCAAATGTAATGGGTTAATGGTTAAGTATAATTAGGGCTCTAATTGAAACTCTGCTTGTTGCTATTTGTATGCAAAGCAGTTTGGGGACAGCCTTTGCAAAAGCTTTTGAACTGGAGTAGCCTGTGTCAAAACACTGGAGTGTTCTCTTAATATGGTTTCCTTTGCTTTGCAGGCGCTTAAATACTTTAAACAAATGTGCAGTGATGAAGCTAGAAATTAGTCCCCACAGGAAAAGGGTAAGTTCCTTTAACATCTTCTGTTACAGCATTGTACTTTAATAAAACTGAAAAAAACCCCACCTAGCAGATTGCTTAGCTGCAGTCTAGGATAACACCTGAGTAGAACCTGGCAAGGACACGCAGTCAAAATTCTGCTTACGTTTCATTCTGTGTTCTCACTGAGGGAAAACTGCAGGGCTTGGCCACGAGTAAAGGTTATTCGTCTACCAAACTCTTCCCCGAGCTGCTGCTCCCAGTCTGAAATCAGGCACTGGGCTTCTCTGCCTGTCAGTGAGGTTGTCCATGTTGAAGCGTATTACCTACACTCAGGCAGGATTGTAAAGAGTAGGCTTGATGGAGGAGCCACGATGAGCTGACCTGAATGTTAGAACATCGTCTTTGGCATCATCTTCACAGTTTTGGTTCTTTGCCATCACGTTAGAATTGTATTATTTTATTGTGATGTAGACAGGATCAGCTAGACTGTGCTTAGCCTGCAGAGGAAAGAGCTAATCCTTTGTAGGATTGGGTACATTATTCCCTTGTTTTTTAATTACATAGCTCAAAATTAAAGCAATATATTTACAGAATACATCAGCTACCTTTTTAGAAAGTTTTCATGTTTCTGCAAGTTCAGCAGAAAGTTTGCAGCGGGTCTTAAAAGTGTTTCCTGAATTTTCAGGATCCCTGTGGAGCATGGTGAGAAATAAAAGAGCACCTACTGTAATTTCAGTAAGGTAGTACCGGCAGAAAGCTGAGTTGCTGGAGTTTGCTAGTAAGGTGCCACTCAATAGCTGTCTTAAAACTATGTGTGTGTCCTAGGAGGGATCAGCAGTTGATACTGTCCCCTGGGATATGACAACTGTAGATAAAGATGACTGAGCTGAGGCAGTACAATGCTGCCCTACCCTTAACAAGAATGCATACAAATGCTCTGAGGTTGTTTACCAGGAATTAATCCCCTCTTTCCCTATCTGTTTGTGGTATGTTGGAAACAGCATCCAAGCTCCAGAAGATAACACTCTGAGGCAGCATATGTAGGAACTCTTTAAAAGTAGGGGTAGACAGCTGGATTGCCATTTATGACCGCCAGAAGATTTCTCCTCCTTGTTCCTGAACCCTGTTAACACTGGAATGATCAGTATTGCTGTTAGAGGTCAGGCCAGACCCGACTTCAGGTCCAAACCCCAGATCTTCCAGAGTCTGGACATTACCTTTTGTTTCAGTCCTTCCTTATTTTCATTCACCACCCACCTTCTGGCAGATGGACTTAGATCCTATTCCCTTTTGTTGTTAACTTTATTAAAATCAATACTTAGCCTTTAAAGCTTTTTAACACCAGGGAAAAACTGTGCTGACAGAAACATATGTTTCCTTATGTTTGCATTGACCTCTTTGCAAATTAAGATCACTTTACTGCTCCTTTTTTTTTCCAGTCAAACCACATTCACCACCGAACCATTACTATTATCCATTGGCAGTTTCAAGTGACTCTTTTCCTCCTCAAAACGTTAAATAGGTCTTCATCTGAGTCATGGACAGAAGTAGTTTGTAGTAGTTGGGAAACAAAGAAAATGACGCTTGCTCTGCCTCATGTGTATTTGGTTATAAAAAATAAATATGGTGTTTCACTTATTTTCCTGAGCTGGTGAAATGTGCTATAAAAAAAAACCACACCAGAAAACTAGGAGAGGATCAGGAACTAAAGTATGCATAAATAAAATTTCTGAAATATGAATAATTTACTTGTTTTTCAGAGAATACATGTTTGTGTTCCTGGCACACAAATAGTTACAGTTTGGGTCATGCATGCGTGTTTGTTTTTAAATTAAAGCAATCTAAACAAATGAAGTGAAACTCGTGGAGCTGGGTGGCAATTCGTGTTTCCTGCTCTGAACACCAAAGGTTATTTTGTGGTTTCATGGTGTCATATTAAAATATCTTCATTGGTTTTATTCTTCCAACATGAAATTTTCCAGATATTTGGATGACCAAATATGTCAGTCCCGGGATCATTCCCTTTCAGTATTTAGATGAAAAGATTGTAGGCGTAAGTGATGTACGCGCACTTGTGCCCTCAGGCATTACTCATACATCAAATATCATCAGTGGAGATGTTATTTACAATTTACTTACGTGCTACACTGTCAGTGAGCTCTTGCTGCTCGCTATCTCTGAGTGTTAAAGTTTGCCTGAAGGGAGACTGAAGTAGAAACTTCACAGGACATTCTTAACATGTTAGCTGCTAGCCTGTGGGAGGACGAGTGGACCAGGTAAGAGCCTGGAGGCATCGCACTCTTGCCATGCAAGAGCTTCTTTTGCTATCTCATTAGTCACAGTGAGGAGACCCTTCAGACTTCCCGAATGGGTAAGGAATTAAGCTGCTACAATTCAGAACATATGAGAAACATCTCATAATTGCAAAGAGGAGTATAAACACGCAGCCACTATCAACAGAGTGTAACTTTGGAGAGAGTCCAGAGGGACCCCAGCCCCTGACTGACTCCAGTTTAAAATTTTATGCATGCCAGGAATTTCCATTGATCTGAGGGCTATCCACTGTGACCAATTAATTAAATGTCTGTGGATACTAGGGTTTTTAGAAAAGAGCAATTTAAAACAGATTGCATTGTTTGTTTCTTTTTATGGAGCATATCTCTTTTGTATTTAAAAACTGTTAAAATATATTGCCTGTCCCATGTTATCTTTTCCTCTGATGGGCTTTATGGCCTAATCTTCCTCTCCCTGAAGTAAAAGACTGTTTTCACTTTAAATTGAGTGAGAACAAGGTCATGCTTAAAGCAGTTTAGTGGGCATTGTATTTAAATGCAACCACCTTTGCCATTTGGGCAGTTTGCAAGCAGTACTTTCAGGGTTCTTCCTCTTTGCAGAGCGAAGATTCGGATGAAGATGAACCTTGTGCAATAAGTGGCAAATGGACTTTTCAGAGGGACAGCAAGAGGTGGTCAAGGCTTGAAGAGTTTGATGTGTTTCCTCCAAAACCGGACTTGAATACCCCCTCCCCGGAAGCTCCTCACCTTACTAACGCAGCAAGCCATGAGAGTGTGCTAACAGACCTCAGCGAACGCCAGGAGGTGGCTTCTATTCTGAGCATCAGCAGCACCAGCAGCCACCAACCAACCCTGCAGAGCGAAGCATCTACCACCAGGACAAACTCGGTTGTCAGCGTTTGTTCATCAAACAATTTCGTAGCAAACGATGACTCATTCAGCAGCCTGCCCTCGCCCAGGGAGCTGAATAGCTTCAGCTTCAACACCAAAGCCAATGAGAAGAACGCCAAGTCCAAAACAAAGAGCCTGCTCAAGAGAATGGAGAGCCTGAAAATCAAGAGCTCTCACCATGGCAAGAGCAAAGCTCCTTCAAAGCTTGGCCTTATTATTAGCGGGCCCATCCTGCAGGAGGGCATGGATGAAGATAAACTGAAACAACTTAACTGCGTGGAGATTTCTGCCCTCAACGGCAATCACATCAGCCTCCCCATGGTACGAAAGAGGAGCGTCTCCAATTCTACCCAGACCAGCAGCAGCAGTAGTCAGTCTGAGACGAGCAGTGCCGTCAGCACACCCAGTCCTGTCACGCGAACACGCAGCCTCAGCGCGTACAATAAAAGGGTGGGCATGTACCTGGAAGGCTTCGACCCCTTCAACCAGTCAACGTTCAGCGACGTGATGGAGCAGAACTTCAAGAACCGGGGAAGCTTTGCAGAAGACACCGTGTTTTTTATCCCTGAAGATCATAAGCCCGGCACTTTTCCCAAAGCACTCTCCAACGGCAACTTCTCCCCAACAGAAAGCAGCGCCTCTGTGAACTGGAGGACAGGGAGTTTCCACGGACATGGCCATCTCACCCTCCGGAGGGAAAACAGTGGCGACAGCTCCAAAGAGCTGGGCATGGGGAAAAGGCGCAACTCCTCCAGCTCAGTCAGCAGCCGCCTGAGTATTTACGACAACGTGCCAGGCTCAATCCTGTATTCCAGTACGAGCGACCTGGCCGACCTCGAAAATGAAGACATATTCCCAGAACTAGACGACATCCTATACCACGTCAAAGGGATGCAGAGGATAGTAAACCAGTGGTCAGAGAAGTTCTCGGACGAAGGGGACTCCGACTCGGCACTCGACTCCATCTCCCCGTGTCCTTCCTCTCCAAAGCAGATCCACCTCGACGTAGATAACGATCGAACAACACCGAGTGACCTTGACAGTACGGGGAATTCACTGAATGAAACGGAAGAGCCCGTGGGGATGCAGGACAGGAGGGACTCTGGGGTGGGCGCATCGCTGACACGGTCCAGCAGGTGAGGTTGTGAGCGCTGGGACTTGGGGTGGCCCCGGGGAGGTCCCGTCGAGCCCGAGTGGCTCTATAGTAGCTGCACCACACTCAGTTAAGGTGCAAAGAGGAGTTGTGGCCATTCAGGCACACGCGTGCTGTTCCCATTGCTTCCCAAAGCAATTATAGGCAAGGGAAGTATTTGCGCAAGACTTTTAGACAAGTGATTCCCGCACTTTGTAGCTGTGTGTTTGTATGTTCAGCCTGAGTGGTCACTGAAAAACAGCCCGCTCAGCAAGTCAGCGTTAGGAGCAACGTGAAGGCAGTTTTGGGGAATGATAATTCTTCAAACTGAAATGGTGTGTGGGAGGGAGAGGGACCTCAAGTAGGATTATTCACGTTTTTAAGTTGGCTAGGAGAGCCAGTATAAGTATGGTCTGGTTTGTGTCAGTGTGTAGTAAAAGTCTTGACTATTAGACTGTTTCAAAAAGTTGCACTTTTCAGTAGCAGGCTGCTTCTTAATAGCATGCTAGGGCATTAAATCTGCAGGGAAAATGAGGTTTGTTTACTTTCCCTTGATCGCTGTAGCACAGCGGAGGACTGGGGGAGTTCCAGTGGCCTCCCAGTTTCTGCTGGGAGTTTTACCATGGGATGGATGGATGACCATATTTTGTATTGGGAGCAGAGCAAGGAGCTGAATTCTTTCTAGCTTTGTTTCCAGTTTTCCTTTAAAACTGGTGCAAATCATTGAGGGCCTGCTTTCTGCTGTCATTTAGTCGCCTACAGCTGCTCATTTAAACTTAATGGGACTTCTAGAAGCGTGTAGTTCCCATCTGATGTGTATTAAAAATTTGGGCCGTTTTTTCTTCATGGAGTTTTTTGATGCCCACCGCCTTAATACTGCAAGGGCTTTTTCTCAAAAAGGGTGCTGGAGCCCTCGGAGGATATCTGGTAGGGCCAGACTGTGTAGTTAACACTGAGCTGTGGTCAGCTCAGAGTGCCCGTTCCCGTCTGAAGCACGTGCAGGTGCTGCATTGCATCGGGTGAGGTGGAGACGCTGCCGGCTGGTGCCTACGAAATCTCAGAAGACGGCGGCTGCCAAGGGCAGGGAGCTCAGCAGTACGTTTGCGGTAATTCCTGCACGTGTCTTGCAGAGACGTTTCAGTGACCGGTCCTTGCTCTGTCCCCCATCTTCTCCGCAGGCACAGGCTGAGGTGGCACAGCTTTCAGAGCTCCCACCGGCCCAGCCTCAGCTCGGCGTCGCTGCAGATCAACTGCCAGTCCGTGGCGCAGATGAACCTGCTGCAGAAGTACTCTCTCCTCAAGCTGACTGCTCTCCTGGAGAAGTACACGCCTTCCAACAAGCATGGTTTCAGCTGGTAAGGGCACAGCGCCACGTGTAGACAGGCCGACTATATGAGCACGACAGTTGCGCTCGTCCTAAGCATCTTTTGGAGAGATGCAATGAATCCCTCCGTCCCTCTTTTTCCATATTTGCACTTCTTCCTCCAGCCTGTGCTGACAGTGATTTGTGGTTGCCTAAGATGGGGCTAAAATCACTAACCCTTTACGTAAGCATAATCTTATTAGGCTTGAGAAGTATGTTTATAGGGGGCATGTGAGGGAACAAGAGCAGTGAAGTACAGGCCAGCTTTCTGAGCAGGAAGATGTCCGCTGTCCACAGCAAAAGAAGGACTAGTCGTTTATTGAGGCAGTTAGCAAGGAGTGGCACAAACCTCAGTAGATCTTAATAGGCTTGCTTTTCTTCAGTTATTCTTAAATATTTGCATTAGTTTCTCTATATAAGCATGTAATTAAATAATGTAAATTTCCTTTAGTTCTAGTGTCTCGTTAGCCAAAATCTGTCTCCTCTCTTTAAAGCACTATAAATCCAATTAGCTTGCACAAAAGGTGGCAGAGGGGAAGAAAGATTGGGACAACCACAGAGTTTTTTGTAGGCAGCAATTTCTGCTGTGGCCAGGTGTTTGTAACCCAGTTGAATATTTTTTGTTGGAAGAATGAAATAGAAAGCTCTTTTATTATTGTATCTGCAGTACAGCCTGTGTAACCTTCAGGATGCAAAAGACGCAATAAAATTTTTCTTCTCCCTACCACAGGCCAGCCTCCTCCCTTCCCCAGGAGTCATAGAGAGTATTTAGCTTCAGCATCAAAGTACCTCCTGTTCAAAGGCTGTTATTATGTCAGCCTTTCTAAATACAGAAGTTGTTTGTTCTGAAAGACAGAAATAAGTATTGACCAGTTATCCCTGCATGCTTCAGATTCTCGGTGGAGATCGCAATGTGTTTTTTCACATTCCATTGGCATGTTTTTTGACAAAGCAAGTATTATTCATACATATATCAATAATATGTATGGCAATACAAATTGGTTCTGTTTTACTATGTAACAGATTAGTCAGCTGTAAATCTAATGCACTGTTTGTATAGCTGTACTGTATATTGAAATCTTAAATAGGTCTCCCTGTTTTCCAGTGCTGCTGTGTCCTATTAGTTGTTGCACTGGACATTAGCTTTTCTCCCTGTTTAGGAAAATGATCTCAATATTTTCACATTTTAATGGCTTTTTTTTTTCCCCCTTTATGAAACCAATACTCTTGGGGACCTGGGAGTAAATCATTCTTTTGTATTTAGTAACTTTTTCCTTGGAATCATAAGCAGATGGAAAGGCCTCTCATTGAAACTGGAGTGGGAGGTGGGGGTAACAACAGTCACTGGCTGACAAGGAGGGGGGTCCCTCAAAGGGGTTGTTTATAGAGCTGAAGTTTTTAGCTGACAAACTCAAATGTATTACATCAGTTCCCTGCTGTTATGCACACTGGTGGGTGGTGGACCCAGTTTGAGGACTTTGCAGAACAAGTAGTTGACATACAAAAGCTCATTGTTCAAATGCCCATCTTTCCCGAAACCTAAAGAAGCAGTGTTACAAGGGGTCACTGACCGCAGGATTTATTTTGACTCTTTTGCAATTCAGTCTGGCCCCTGCAGTTTCACCCTGTAGCTTTTGTCCTACTAATATTGATGGAGTAGCACCACATCAACACTTACAGGCAGCATACTGCCCCAAATGTCAAGCTTTTCTCTTAAAGAAACTCTGTTTTCTGTCCTCTCCCCCTTCCCAGCCCTAAGTGGATTAGCTGATTTATACTGTCACTGCTTTTCATATTACTAAAGTGTTTCACTTATTTTCACTGACTTTCTGAATTACTGGAAATACAGAAGATAATGGTCGACAGAGGTTTAATTTGATTTTGTCATTCCCTTTGCTTAAATAGGGCAGTACCAAAATTTATGAAAAGGATAAAGGTGCCGGATTATAAAGACCGAAATGTGTTTGGAGTACCGCTGCAAGTCAATGTCCAGCGCACAGGGCAGCCTCTTCCACAGAGCATTCAGCAAGCCATGCGGTACCTCCGCAACCACTGCCTGGATCAGGTGGGTTTTGCTGTAGTCTCATCCCACACGCATGCAGCACCCAAAGCCCAGCCTTCCATTAATTGTTATTGTTCCTGAATCAGACTGAAAAAAGTAGACTCAAAACAGGACAAAATAGATAATTAATGCAAGGAAAGCTTTCCATGAAATTAGAACCCATAAGTAAGAAGCTAAAGAGCATACTTACCTTTCAGATTTGCTGGACTCATTGTAAATGTATTTACCTTTCCATCTATATTTAGGTTGGACTGTTTAGGAAATCTGGAGTCAAATCAAGAATTCAGGCTTTGCGTCAGATGAATGAGAATTCAACAGACAGCGTCAACTATGAAGGCCAGTCTGCTTACGATGTAGCAGACATGTTAAAGCAATTCTTCCGTGATCTCCCTGAGCCTCTCATGACCAACAAACTCTCCGAGACCTTCTTACAGATATACCAATGTAAGTAGTGAGATTTCTATGGCAGATGGCAAATGGTCATTTGTGTAGCAAGGGTGGAACTTTCTAATACCACTTCTCTGGGCACTATGTGTGTTGCATATGTTGGTCTTTGCCTTTCTCCAGCAGCAGTTGTTTAATGATTTATAGTACAAGTTCTTTTCATTTCACCTTTCTCTGTAGTTTAGGAACACATATAAATCCTCCATCACTTGCTATAAAGTTTCCTCTCTTCTTTGAGCGTACTTCATATTATGGTTTGAAAATAAGCCACATCTGATGTGGCTAGGTAGAGGAGCTGTGCAAACACTACATGAAGAGAGTTTGGGGCTTTTGAGGGGATTGAAATGCACTAAATTACTGGGATTTTTTTGTAAGAGCAAGGCTGCCAAAAAATTTCTATTTTCTTGTAATTCATATTCTTCTATCCTTCACCACAATTTTTGAAAACAACCTTTAAGTTGAAAGCTTTTCTGTTACTGATGTGTAGCTACTTTACTGATATGTACCATAAACAGAAAGTGCTAAAAATAAACCACATAAAAAATGGAGTTTATCAATGCATGTGAAAAGAAATAGTTAATCTTTCTGAGATGGCAGGTTCAACTCCAGCAAGGGAGACATTCTTTTTTGTGCACTAGATAAATTGAGTTCTGTATAGATAGTAATTGTGTGCTGGATCTTTCCAAACAGCACCTTGTCTTTTAGAAGTTGTCTTCAACATTGTTTCATTGGGAATACTCTCACTTTATAAAATGGCCGAAGATGAATTAATATTTGGTGACCAGAACTGCAAAGCCTTTTGAAATATTCATGGCAGTCCAGACTGATTGATTGATGTACTATGGGCACCTTTCTGATCCTGTGGTTTCTCTCCCTAACACCACCCCAGCTCTCTCCCCGTGTATTCTTCCCATGGCAGCACAGCTACAATGGAACTTACTGCAAAAAAACCTTCTTTGAGCTCTTGCTGTATTTTATACCTTCCTTATGGTGGTTACAAAAAGGTTACAGGAACTTCCTTTAGAGCTCCATAGGTGGAGGTGATGGCTTAAAATAAAAACATACATACCGTTATTTCAGTGCACATGGGTTTTTTGTGTGTTTGGATTCCCAAGAAGGTTTATGGAGAAAATTAATCAGACTCTCCACTTCTGTGGATATTAAACAGCAGCTCTTTGTGGGTTTAGTGCCAGAAGAAGTTTGACAGAGCATTGCAGAAGTATCTGTTCCTTTCCTTTTGCAGGCGGTAGGTCTGAGGAATCCCCAGAGGTGGTCGGGAAGTATTATCTCTGTGTTAAGCAAAGAGCCTTAAAGCAGCTGTAATTTTTGCTTCCCTGCAAAGGACAATATTTCCCTTTGCTTTGGTGTCGTGCACCAGGCTGCGCACTGGAATTGTCCGCACGTGGCTTAAATGTGCTTTGAGCTGATTGAGGGGAGCGTGTGGAAAACAGTGGATTTTTATTTAAAATTGCTTTCTAAATTCACCTGCTAGCCTTACAGAGTTGCTGAAGCCCAAAGCAAATACCAGTTAAATATCTGGTTAGCACCACATGTATTATGAGACATGCAGTGAGGGCGGTGTGGTGCTAATGATGATATAAATGCTCCAGGACTCAGACTATGATGTTGTCTTCAGAGATGGCTTATTGGAAATCCCTTTATGAGAAGCAGATCTGGTCTGGGTTATTTCATTTTTTGTTCCCTTCAAGTTTGGAGGAGAGGGCCTTATATAAAGACACACGTCAAATTTTTCCAATGGCTGTTTGTTGTTAGTAACCAAGGAGCTGTTTAATGGTATGGGGCTTCACAGCATTGACTTTCTTTTTCCACTGCATGACTTTGAATGATCTGCTCAATAAAGCAACCCTCTGTGTTTGGTAAAGCACTTTCTGGATATTTTATGACATCATTGTTGAAAAGGTTTGCTAGCCAATTTATTTAATTAATTCACCTATTCTAAAATGCATTCATGTTTTGAATTTCTTTGAAAGCCAAAGAATTTCTAAATTGGCTGGACTGTGTTTGCTTGTTCAGTGCCTGACTCCAGGCTTCTGTCATTTTAGTGCATCTGCGGGAGCATGTAGCTGTTGAAATTAAATCTAAAATTAACTCTGGCCTAGGCACAACTTCTTCTTGCTTGCATTTCTTGTGAGGCAGGAAATAGCTGAGGGTAGTTAAACTAGTGGGTTAAAAAAAAATTCCTTCATGTTTCCTACGAATGGTATGCATCCTGAAGGAAATCACTTCAAATATTTGAAGCTGGAGTTTGCTTTGGGATGTATTCATGCTGTGTGTGTGGAAAATCAATGGGCTGATGAGAGAATTACTAATATTATGCAGATGTGCCAAAGGATCAGCGTCTCCAGGCTATCAAGGCTGCCATTATGCTTTTACCTGATGAGAACAGGGAGGTCCTCCAGATTCTTCTCTATTTCCTGAGTGATGTCACAGCTGCAGTGAAGGAAAACCAGATGACACCAACCAACCTGGCCGTCTGCTTAGCACCTTCCCTCTTCCACTTAAACACTCTCAAAAGAGAGAATTCTTCCCCAAGGTATGTCTCTGGGGAGCAGGGCTCATTGCTGCTGGTCCCGCACCGCAGCTAGCAGCAATGCGCAACAGGCACGGTCTAGCATTGACCCTACTAGTTGTGATCACCTCGGACATCTCAGAGGGCACTGGGTGTAGAACGGTTATGGGATCCTACCTTTTGTTAGAGATTTGTTAAGATATGAGCAAGTTCCTAAGAAGGAAGAAACAGCGGGGCTTCCAAAGAAAAAGTTTAGAGAGAGTAGCGAGAGAAGTCGGTAACACCATGCCAAGATTTGGTCCTGGGCAGCACTGCTCTAAATCACCAGCAGATTTGGGAACCCTACTGTTTTCTTACCAAGCACCTCTCTGGCTCTGCATTAAATAACTGGACTTGTGTGTGTGTGTGTGCTCTTTTCCCCTGTGAAGGGTGATGCAACGAAAACCAAGCCTGGGAAAACCTGACCAGAAAGACCTAAATGAAAATCTGGCTGCAACCCAAGGGCTAGCTCATATGATCGCTGAATGCAAGAAGCTCTTTCAGGTAAAACACCTATTTGCAAAACTGATGGGTGGAATATTGGCCAACGTGGCTAAGATCTGCCATATAATGGAAAGCTAGGAAAGTCTCTTTATTTTAATGAAGTTTAATACATGATAAATAGCTTTTTAAAAAACTTTGCATCCTGATCTGGGTGCATACATGAATTAGAAGTGGTGCTAGAAGAAAAGAGAGTTGTTTTGTTGGCACTGGCACTCAAAAGTCATGAGGCAGTTGTGGGGTTTGGGACATTTTTGTTACATCCAAGCTGCATTTGAAATATGTTTTCAAGCTTTTATTGTGCAGCCATGAGGGTCTGTGAACTTCAGCTGTAATTACAAAGCAAGAAGCTCTTTCCAGGAATTTCAGTGCTTGTTTTATACTTAAATTCCCAAGAGTTAGCAAGACTAGGCCACAAAAGCATCCTGGAACATGACACTGTCAAACCGTAGGTTGAACGATCTGTAGGAACTAAAGCATGCTCTCTCTAGGGCCCGGGATGGAGAACCAGACAAGCCTTGAGTCCTGGTTTTCCTCACTGTCATTGAATCTTTTCAGAGCCCTCAACTGAAGACATGCCTGTCTCTTTTCTTGCGGCTGACAACTGATCCCTCCTTCCTTCAGTCTGCAGGATTAACTGTGCTGTGGGAATGGATCAGACTTTGAGTTAAATCAAAGTCACAAACTTAATTTTGGCATTTCTTCACATTGAGTGCTCAACCTGATACATACACATCCCACCACTTACAAAACTAGTGTACCCATCTTTCTGTGGCTATCAAGCTGCTAGCCTAACTCTGTGATTTGGGGAGAGAGCTGCAAGAGGATGATTTCACCCTTGTCGTCCCTTAGATACCCGAAGAAATGAGCAGGGGCCGGAACTCATACACGGAGCAGGACCTGCGTCCCCTCAGCCTGGAGGAGCTCCGGGGTGGCAGCAGCACAGCCGAGCCCTCCGACTACCACTGCTACCTCCAGGACTGCGTGGATGACTTGCTCAAAGAGATGAAGGAGAAGTTTAAAGGCTGGGTCAGCTGCTCCACCTCAGAGCAAGCAGAGCTGGCCTACAAGAAGGTATGCGCTCTGTCACTCACGCCACAGCTCTGGCTTTTAGCTCATCTTCTCTCATATACGCAGGCTTTTGACATAGGATATTACAGAAGGTTCAGTGCACACCTTTACTTTGCAGATAGATTTAAGAAAAAAACCCTTGATCTTTTGACATAGTTGTACAATGTCTAGAAACAGCATGTCTTTCAGCAGTAGTCAGCTAACATGCACTGATTTGTGTTCTTCTGTTTATCCAGCCCAGGAATGTTTGCTGTGTTGCATTTACACACTTTTACTCACGTGTGCAAAGCTTTGACAGGTTGAGTGAAGCCTCCAAGCACTGTCACTATGCAGGCAATAGGAAAGAAGTTTCCCAGCTGCAATCTTGCACAGCTCAGAGCTAGCACAGGGAGCACTGTTTCAATGAGGCTTAAGATATTTGAAAATTAAACTTGGAAAACTAGGATATCTTTCTGTAGCATCACGATCTAATAGTGGCCCATACTGGAGAAGATAACTGTAACTTAAAAATAATTTGGAAGTCAGCGTGCAGATGCTTTTGGCTGTTTGTTAGGAAAAGAACCTTAGTCTGAGCTTATGACAAGCTTAGTACAAGATATGCATACATGTGTGTGTATTTTATTTGCTGTATGTAGCCAACACTAAAATAGAAAGGAAAAGAAAGTGTAAGGCAGAGTAAAACTGAGGACTCTGTACTGATTTTTCCCAGGTATGTGAAGGTCCCCCACTCCGGTTATGGAAAACTACCATTGAAATCCCAGCTATACCAGAGGACGTTTTAAATCGTTTACTTAAAGAGCAGCATCTTTGGGATGAAGATCTTATAGATTCAAAAGTAATCGAACCTTTGGATAGCCAGACAGATATATACCAGTATGTCCAGAACAGCATGGCACCTCACCCAGCCAGGGACTTCGTAGTCTTAAGGTAATACTTTTATATGTGATGATGTTTATATCCTACACATACGGCAACCTTGCCTACAATTTCTGTATAATATAAGTTATTTAGGTAAATATCTATTTGTGCATAATTTGAAGTCTTATTAGATATTTGAATTACTGTTTGTCAAAGATAAGACTTTTTTTTCTTCTCTTCTCTTAGAACATGGAGGACAAACTTCCCAAAAGGAGCTTGTGTGCTTCTTGCAACTTCAGTGGACCATGACCGTGCTCCAGTGGCAGGTGTTAGAGTCAATGTGCTCCTGTCTAGGTATCTGATTGAGCCCTGCGGGTCAGGAAAATCTAAACTTACCTACATGTGCAGAATTGATTTAAGGTATGAATTTCCACTTTGTCCTTTTGTGGTGGTAACTTTTCTTGTATAGTTTCTGCAAAATGTAGATGGTTCAACAGGCTTTAGTTTGGCCAGTAGTAGGTACTTCTGAAAGGCATAAGAATGGTCTCTGAGATGTCACGGAAAATTGGCTTCAGTGCACATCTAACAGCAGGTGTGGTTTGTTGCATTAGAAGCCTCCAGGATGTGCTCCACCACGGCTATTGGTATATAAACCCATGCCTTCCTCTGACAGATATATTTGGATGCAAGCACATGTTAATATTAAAATTAAGTTAGTAAAGAGGACCAAGTTCTCACAAAACTTCTCATAACTTTTCCTCACTGCAGCAAACATGGTTTTGAGCAAGTCTATACATTAGTAAGGCTGAGCTGAGCAATAAGCAGTAATAAGATTTCCTAGTCAGGCATTTAACCACCTAGATATGTATTTGGTTCTGTCTAAGAAAATGCATGCAAAGTTACTGGTACCTGCTTCATCATTACTTTCTCTCCACACATCAGGGGCCACATGCCAGACTGGTACACCAAGTCTTTTGGACACTTGTGTGCATCTGAAGTCGTTAAGATACGAGACTCTTTCAGTCATCAGAGTCTTGAGAGCAAGGAAGTAAAATCCAGGTGACTACTGAAGAGGAATAGCCATGCGCTCCACACCTCAGCAACGTAGACTTTACACAAAACTGAGGCTTGTCCGCTGCAGACTGGACTATTGCACCATCTGCAAGTCACGTCATGAAGGGATGACAGCATGAGAACTTGACTGTGAGCATTACTATAGGACTGTGGCCATACCATACACTTTAAAGCTGCTTCCTGTCTGTGTAAGGTCTATAGTGTAGGCCTTGACTGGAATACATAGGAGGACTGTGCAAAGAAAAAAAAAAAAGTATTGTACTATTAGATGGTTTGAATTGCTTCTGAGAAGCAAAATTCTTTAAATGCAAAATATATTATGAAATATGGTGAAGGCTCATCATTCCCATGTGAAATACTTAGCTTTATGTACATACCCATGTCATTTTATTTGTAGTGCGTTGAGGGACTGGTGTATCCACTGGAATAGTTGGTACTCTTCAATGTGTTCTCACTGAGATAAGCAGAGAAAGGTTTGCACAGAGATTAAAGTGTGAATGAGTGTGTTGATGGTTGAAAGGATAGCAGAAGAAGTCGAACTTGACATGTGTCTGGTACACTGGTAGGCAACCAGAATGGATTTTAGTATGCTGGATACAGTTCAACCTAGAATAGGACTCCCCTGTGGACCAGGAGTAGCCATCCCTCCAATGTGCCAGTTCTGCGTTTTCCTCAGCCCTAACCTTGTTAAAAATCCTAAGCAGATGTTACAAGAGGCTTGCTCTGATTACTGTCCACTCCTTGTCCAGATGATCTTTTAGGAGTGATTAGCAGTTCTATAGCAATTTTAAGTAAATATACTTCCGAGCAACATAGCAGCTTAGAAATGAAATGTCTGTGCAACAGTAAAAAGAGCCAGTAATGTCAGTTGTTAATTTGCCAAAAAATGTTCGTTGCTTTTACTCCTACCTGCATTAACTATAAGTGTTTTAATGAGCTTTTATATATTTTACTGTATTCTAACGGCTCAAGAGGAAAAAGTCAACACTGGAGTTGCGGTGCCGGGAGGTGGCAGGACACCTGCAGGAGCAGGTGGGGTGACATGGGTAGGAAGAGTTGCATGAGCTCTCTCCCTTTCTCTCCCTCCTTTGCCCATTTTCCGAAAAGCTGCATGTTAACACGAACAGAACCTGGATGTGAGCAATTTGGAGGGTTATATTTGGGGGCAGAGAGGAGGGTGGGGTTTTGTGTTGGGTTTTAAACCCTTTGGGATATTCCCCCCTCCTTGAGAATCAACTTGTATGAACTGTAGGAAGTCGTGAGGTCCTCTGGAAAGGTGTCTTTCTGTAGGTTTTACTGTAAAGGTAAAGATTTGCTTTCGAGGTGCAGTATTAAGTGATAAATGTATTTTGTGGCGAGGGTATGAATGAGTTGCAAGACGGAATTTTGACTGAGACTTTGTTACCATTGTCAGTATTATTTTAAGCTTTTTGATGAAGATTTTTTTATTATGGCAAATAATGTAGTACTTCCAGTAACAGTGTTCCTCATGAGTAGGAAAACCTTGTATATTCTTCTACATCAAACACTTTTGAATTTGTAAAATTGTATGTTGTACATACCATTCTATTGTAAACATGTATACTTGCCCACAGTGTACTGTCAAACATAGATAAAGCATGATAAAGATTATTTAAAATATACCTGTATTTATACCTCAGATATTCTTTTTGGGTTTTTGTACCTCAAGTATGTTTTCTATTGTAAATGTGCTTTACATGACTATGATCTACGTGAGAGAAAGGAAAATGTTTAACTTGCTATAGATGTCTGTACAGAATATACTCAATAAGTGCACTATTAAATGTTTGAAATTGGAGAAGCATAATGGTTTTTATTTTATTCTGCATCCTTCCTTCCACTTTCATGCCCAGAGGAGGCAGCATTTTTCTTACCACTGGTTCTTTACATACTACTACCAACTGCCTAGCCACCCTTGCCCTCTCCCAGGCCAGTATTTTTAGCATTGTTAAAGGCAAGTACCAAAGCAATTTCAAAATTTTTGGAAGACAAGCCTTCATGATGGCAGACAGCTGGACAGAAATACTCCCCACTCGATAGCTTCATACATTTAAAAGTAAAAAGAAACTTCTGGTTTGCTGCTGACCTGTGGAAAGCCGCTCTTGAATTTAACCGGGAGCAAAGCAAACTCCTACTTGATAGGCAGCTGTATGCAATGCTGAAAAAAAATTCACTGCTTTCCTATTTTCTGTGGGGAAAATGAGGGCATGATGAGTTGTGGAGTCATAGGTTCGCTTTAAAAAATGCAAGTGTGAAAGTAATTGGAGAAAGTTAAAGCACAGGCAGCAGTGAAATGAAGGTGAAGAGAAGGCCAGGAGGATATACGAACAACTGACTAAGGTGAAAAATGAAGCCAAAGACAGCTGTTAATTCAAGCAACTTTAAAAAGTTTTTAAAGTCTTAGCCAACAGAAATATAATTTGGGCATCTGAAAGAGGATTTTGATTTGTGAGGCTTGTCTGACAGAGTAGCTGGAAGGACGCCTGCTGCTTTTCAGTTACCAACATCATCGTATTCTTTCTCTGCCCAAGCATCCCAAAGTCCTGATCACTATCGCTTCCCACCATGTTCCCCAGGGAGCAGTGAGGGATGCTGCTTCACAGTCTGGCAAAGCAAACCTCTTGCTGTCATGGTGCTAGTTCTCGCACACCAAAGAGCCCTCTAGAGAACCTTTCTGATAAGGGACTGTCTTGTTTAGCTCTTACAGGATCTTTTTCTTCCTAAGTCAATACTAAAAATAAAACAGCTACACAATTTAAAAAAAAAAACCACAACAGTTTTGTTCACCGTTTTGGGCCCTTGGAACAAGCAGAGTTAGAGCTAATTTATTTTTCTCTGTAGTGATGGTTTTGTTTGTATTTTTAAGCGCACTAATGCACAACAGATTCCTCAGGCTCTTCAAGTATTTACTCTGCATTTTGTTTAAAGTGCATTTAGGTTACTTTCAGATCAGCATTTTCCTAAATATTTCTAAAACGTGAGTTAATTTTGACTCTTCTAAATAGCCTCAAGCCCCTGAATGTTTCTTTTCTCAGCACCTTCATTTGCAGGTGTCCATGTTGTAGCTGGACAATAGAATTCAAGTTTCCACATCTGTTTCTTGTCAGGTGTCACTCAGGGCAGCACTGGCTCTTGCTTGGACACTCTCTTGCTTTAAGGAGCAGTTGCTGCAGAGGGAGTGCAGGCTAGGCCCCTGTTCAATTCTGGCAGGGTGCTGGTATGGCTAACTGCATACATGGCATCCCTGGTGCAGCATGGATCCAGCCAGCTGTGTGCTTCAGTAATGCTGAATTTCAGTACTGCTTTCTAACAAACTCAGATGGAAAAAGTCATGTTTTACTGTCATTCCTCAAGTAATGCACTCCACAATTAGATATTTATGAAGCTGTAAATAATCAGTGACCTTCATCTTAAAGGCCAGAAGGCAATGTCACTAACACACATGGACAGTCTGGGGAAGTGAGACTGGAACAATACAAAACAGTAGCTCTGCAGTCTGGTACAAGGCCTTGAAAAGAGCAGGACCTAGTATATATCCACAGTAGTCCGTGCCAGGAGAAAGTTGGTGTGAAAACAATATCCATTACTTGGGCTACATAATAAAAGGTAGATATTTCCACTTAAGACATAGGAAGATTAAATGTTATATGCAGCTCGTGCTAAGTGTTGGAAGCAGTGTTCTACAATCATAAGGAATGAAATCAAGATCATGTTTTAATAGAGCAATGCATTCAATTTACAAAGGCAAAATGCTAATTCCTTTGCCTATGTTATACCATAACTTGTCAGTACAGCCATTGACTGCATCCATTATAGAAGGAAATACTACACAGTTCTGAAAAATGACTTTCAGCTATTTCTCATCTGTCAACCCAGAGCTATTTTATTTCTCTAGCAAGGAAAGGTATCAATGTCTAAAATGATGACTAGCATAGCACCGGAGGTGAAGTACTGTTCCTATTACTGATGCTAATATGCAATGTTTGCATCTGTGCTTCTTTTGCATTGAGCACTATCCCAGACACTTGAGGCTTGCTCACTTTCCCCTCCCCTCCGCACCATCCTACTATATTCTCCTATATTGCCCTAGGCATCCAGAATGCTCGCAAGAAATGAACTTCCAAGCTGAGTCCAGGGACAGTAGAGCAGTGAAGGACAGGAAAGAATTCAAAGAAGAAAGAATTCCATCAGAAGAGATTATGGCACTGAAGGGGTATATTTATATAGAAAGATTCAATACACATAATCTGGCCACTAGACAAGAAGGATGTAGTAAATGTCTGCTAGCACTGGAAGGTCATAAAAACACAGAAGAGTTCAAACTAGCTGAGTGGGTGTACAAGTTGGGATAAAAATTCGTTAATGGAAAATGTGAGGCAGAAGGAAACGAAAAGGCATTTTTCCACATAAGAAGAGGTCTTTGAGGCTGTGGGACAATCTCTCTGTGAGAAGCAGCAAGAGCGTAAGTCATTTGAAACTGCGCAGGCTCAAGCCCTGGAATCATTCCTGCGCTAGCTTCTATAAAGCATCATGAAGACCTAAGAAAGGTCGTCTCTTCACTATTTGACACGATTACAGGACTTACAGGCCACCAATTTTCACCTGTAAGTGTCAGATAGCGCTGCCTTGCTGAGTAAGAAACAATATGGTGTAAAAAATAAAGTTACAATTAAGTAACAACTCAATTATTTTGGAAGTTGCTAATGAGCAAGTCTTTCTCTAAAAACTACCTTGGAGGTCGTGGAGTGCAGTTTGCTTATGTTTTATAGAAGTGGACATTCATTTAAATGAGAAAATGCAGTGCCTCCCCACTATGGGCCAAGAGTATGAAGATCAGTGTGGGAAGGTTACCAGACAACTGGGAGAGTCTTTTGCTTTTCTACCACTTACTCAAAACTCAGAAAGATCTATAATGGATAAGCACCATTTCCCTATCATAGCAGGAATCAAATCCATTATTCCTTAGGCTTAATATTTTTTTTTGTTACTAGAAGAAGAAGAAAAAGCCCTACAGCAAGTGTGTTGTGTGTGCTTCTCTAGGTACCAGTCTTCTACTAGTCACTTCATTAGCTCAAGTAATAAGAGGGTGATCTGGTGGGTCTGAACATCACTGTTGCTCCTGACCCACATAGATATTTCTTAAGGCTGTATAGCACTGAAAATGGAAAAGCCCCTTAGGAACAGAATTGTCAGTGAATGAAAGAATATTACTATTCCAA